AATATCATATATCATGATATAGGACACTTGTCTCTCTGAATCAGAAAATAAATATAAACTAAGCTCCTACCATTGAAAAGAAACATATACGAAAAACTAGGAAAATACTGTAGTATACGTATACTTTAGTATTATCCTAGTTGTTCGTATACGTTTCTTTTTAAGAATAGAGGCTCTGTTCTTAATTTAGATGCGTTAAATCTGGATTTCAAATTCATTCGCTACAAATAAAATTTTATATAATACTGAAACGTGAAGACGTTTTCATAAATTATATATCTCAGAATTTTTTTCAAAATAAATTACGAATCTTCCAAATTATCTATAATTAGAATGTAATGTATAATACGATTGGATCAATTAATTAAAATTCAAATATTAACACATGTATATAGAATTCGTGTATTCAGAATTCATAGCACGATTGTCACGAAAATTTGCAATTAGAACGGGCTAAGTAATTAGGACGAGTTCTCGTGATATTACTCGGAAATTAAGAACCAAGAATAATACAATATGAATCTCTAGGCTTGAACGCTATTTCGTAGAACTATTATATCAATGCAATCTTGTCTTAAGTGGCTTAGTTCTGCTATACTTAGTACTCCAATTATTTCTTCAACATATACGTGTAACACATACACACACACACACACACACACACACACATATGTATATATGTATATGTAAGTGCAATTGCATATCGCATCAGCCAAGATTCGTTATCCCAAAATCTCGTCACGAAGTCGCGCCAAGTACTTTGCTTATTTTCCTGCGAGTCGCATCAACCACTAGTCGTTTCCTCCCTCATTTCAATTCCTTCTTAAGGACTTTGTAAGAGCATAAAACACATATATTAATATTAACGCTTTAACCAAATTACATACATATGGAAATTGTGTTCTGTTTTTATTGAGCAACACATTTTTATAGATTATTAATTTTATTCATTAATATTTTTATTGTTATAAACGAAACTTTTTAAAATGATGAAAATTCTCATTTTCTAATAAACCTAATTTTTTTTGTATAAATACTTTAAGTATTAAAAATGACTTGTACAAAGTTTCATTGAGATTCCTCAATTTATTTTGTAACAAATAAATATTTTGTTTATTTACTTAACAATTAATCTGCATCAATGTAACTTTACATAAAAAATAAAAAAATATTACTTTTTATTGAAATAACTTTTGATCCAGATAGTAAACTGTTTCTAATTTTTTTGTATTACTTTGAAATGCAATTTGGAATAATCTGTAATTTTTCAAGTAATTGTTAACAAATTGCATTTGCTTTACAATTTCCTTAACATCGCGGAATGTGCAATCGCATATAAAGGTATAGAAAGAAAGATATAAGCAAGGGATGTTGTCCCCTCTCTCCCTCTCCTCTCCTCTTTTTAATCTATCGTCATTTGTAAAATTACACTCGCACGTGTAATGAATGTACCGTCTATCTGTTCGTATCGTTATTAACTGGAGATTGCAAAGATTCACGATATATCTTATCGCATCGATCAGCTGATCACTCTCTCATGACCTAATAATTTCCCGGCAAAATTCCGATCTCGTTTAACGCGCGGAAGGATGCCGACAACATCGATACTCATCGTTAAATGCAAATCTTCAAAGTCATACATAAGTGATCGGATAATTTACGACATTTTCAATATGAGATTCATATTATTATTACGTTATTATAACTTTATATTACTATTATATTACTTTTTTCAGTAAAACGCAAAAATTTGATATAATGCATAGACTGCATAGTCTGTGAATCAGTTCGTTCCTCTAAGTAGGGGGGGGGGGCGGCTTTGAAAACTTGCATAGTCGCGCAATTGTAAAGTTCGTACTCGACTCATCGCGAATGCTAAAAGGATATAAAAGTTTCGTAACGTCAACTTACATGCCGCATTTCCTCCGCATTGTCCGCGCGCGTGTTAGCCCATCGTCGCTGAATCGATACCGACCAGCTACGTCGCGCTTCTGGCCTGTGCCCAATCCAATTCTGAACGATCGTTTTACTCATTAACGAAACTTCCTCTACTAACGATGTTGACGTCAACGTGCGAAGGTGTTTTATGTAGATCTCGAAAGTCGATCATTCTCGATCTGATCTTCCCGAAAGAGAGAGAGAGAGAGAGAGAGAAATGATCACTCGCGCGTAGCTAACACCAACTTCGATCTACATAAAAAGCAAAACGTGAGTCGCAAATCGGAAGCTTCTTGCATTAGCCAATCTCGAAGCGTCACTTTTAAAATTAATGCATCGGATTGATTGATGCAACAAGCTTGTGACCTGCGATTCGCGTTTTACATCTTATATAGATCGGGCTTAATCGTAACCACCTTTTGCTATTCAAATGAACGATTTTTTTACGTCAAAGTGCTTCATTACCGCGATGCTTATTAACCCTCCGTCTGCAATTATATTTTTATTCCCTTCATCAGCAATCTGATTCTTTTTTGCCCCGTTCAAGTTTTTATTGTTCGAAGCTTTAAAAAAATTCAGGATTACATTACCAAATTCGTTTCTTAAATGTTAAAATCTTTATTTAATAAAAATTGAAATTTGAGGAAGAAATTTGAGAGTAAAATATCGCTTATGTGCTAAAAAAGACCCAAGTTGCAGACGAAGAGTCTGCAATGCTTTTCCAGTTTAACATATTTTAGATCCTACATTCTCCTGCACTCTTCCGTCTCATTCCTATTATGTTCTTGCCATTGAGCTCATTAGTCAGGATTACGTTTATTTTCCTTTCATTAAGCGGTTGATGAGTCTTTAAGAATTCAAAGATACGAAGACATTTACATTACGACATTGACGACGATATTATCGTAACACTTGCGCACACGTTAAAGCTCAGTTTTACGAGGAAATTGTTAGCAACCTAAACTGTTTGAAATTTAAGGAGATTGTAAGAGTATAAAACACATATATTAATATTTACTTTAAACAAACAACATTTATATAAAAGTCCTAACGTTCTGTTTTTATTAGTAACACATTTTCATAGATCATTAATTTTATTTGTTATTATTTTTAGTGTTATAAACAAAAATTAAAATTTTTTTATACAGTACTTCAAGTATTAAAAATGACTTATGCAAAGTTTTATTGAGATTCATCAATTAGTTTATAACAAATAAATATTTTGTTTATTTACTGAACAACTAACATCTGCATCTCGATGTAACTTTATATAAATATTCTTAAATTTATTAAGTACTTATATAAAAAAAAATTGAGATTTCTATTATTATTTTATAATACATTTTCAGATATTTCTATTAAAATACAAATTTGAAAAATATTGCTTTTTAATGAAATAACTTTTGATCCAAATGGTAAACTGTCTCTAATTCTTTTGTATTAATTTTAAATGCAATTTCGAATAATCTATAAATTTTTCAAATAATTTTTAACAACTTAGCGCCGAGACACGACCAGTGTCTCCAGACACATTGCATTTGCCTTACAATCTCCTTAATAGCCTCATTCCTTCTAATATTGATGCATGTAATAAAATATCCTTATGCTCACGAGGTAAAACTGGAATACTGTAGATTCACTATCGCCTCGCGAGTTCTCTTTCTTCATACACAACAATTTGAGATATACGTTTCATACTCGGTCTACGTTGCAGAATTAAACGTTTAATCTTCCGGTATATGTATAACGTAAATAAGAAATTCGTCGGAACAACGTGAAGGATTAAAACCGTTTTGCGCAGCGTGTGGATACGAATTTCGACGATGACGAGCATACTTATAGATATCTCTGATCTGTCTTGCGCGTGTAGAGAAATATTCCTTACACGTAAATTTCATCGCAGGTATAAAGAAGTGTCTCCCCCAATTGGCCCGTCATCGGCGATTGATGGAAAACGTGTTTCATATATAAACATTATTTCAGATCATATCGTATTTATATGTTTATTGTGTGTGTGTGTGTGTGTGTTTTTACATGCGTGTGTGACGACTAGTTGTACAAATAGTATGGATCATACTAACGACGAGTAAGCGCATCGTACTTTCATTCCCTTTCTCTCTTTCTCTCTCGCACAATCTCTCACGACGAATAAAGAAGATAAGAGACAAATAGATAACGAACGATGCATATGACTTCTCTTCGCAATGTACGGTACCTCCTTCTCGATTCAAGTGCCGTGTAACACGAGAGAAAACTGAGGGGGTGAACGAGCGATGGAGAGCGGAGGGGGGAAGGGGAAGGGAGAGATGCTTACCGAAGAGTTGGCGAAGACACCGGGAGGAAAGAGACGACGTTGCCGTATATGAAGGAGAGAAAAGGGAACGGAGGAGATAGGAAACGTCGCTCGCAAAGACAACGAGAGACTATATGTACAAGGTAACTTCGGTACGGTGACATTTCCGACGCTGATAACAGTTAATCATTGGGAACAAACTTTACACACGGCCTCCTCCGTAAACCGGATCATAAAGCTTCAATGGATGGCAGAGGACACGAGGAGGAGAGGGGAGGAAGGGAGGAGGGGAGGGCAAGGGGACAGGGGAATATGAGAGTGGCGAACGAATACATACATATACATGTGTGTATGTATATATATATAGTATATATATATATATATATAGTATACAGTCGTTTTTATTACGTTACTGAATCGATTAACCGGCTAAAAAAAGAGACTTCATGTAAAAAGTGATGCTGGCGTGTGACGTCTACTATATACGTAACACAAAAGTTATATGTGTGTATGTGTACATAATTTTTGGACGCTTGAACGCCAGCGTGTAAACGTCCCATATATCAATCCGTGTCCGCGTTTTCTCTCTTTCCTTTTCTACTTTTGTCTAGCGAGTTCGGTCGCGAGACGCAACAAAAAAAGACGCGCCAATTGCCACGTGCTCCTTCATATACTTCTCTCTTTCTCTCTATCTCTCTTTCTCCCCCTCGAAAATAACACACCCGGAAGAGTGTCCTTCTAGTATATCGCTTACGAGAAACTTTTTCGCAAGGAAAAAACTTCACTCCGTTTTTCGCCTAGTCAACAGCTTTCATATATTACACGCGGATGCGCGCGCTGACACACACAGATGCACTCTTTTCTCTTTCTCTCTTTCTCTTTCACTCTTTCTCTCCCGCTCTTTTACTCTCTTCCTCTCTCTCTCTCTCTCTCTTTCTTTCTCTCTCGCAAAAAAAGCGAATCACCAACGTGACGACGGCGATGACGGCGAACGATGACGAAGGAGCGCCGTGCCGCGTCAACCCGACGATGAGGCGCGACACGACGTGCGTATCCACCACCTCCGGTTGCGAGCAACTTGCTGACCTGGCGCAGCGTTCAAAACTCGGCGAACTCCTTGGCGCACTTTTCCGTCAGCGAGATCCTCAGGGTCTCCTCCTCGTAATCGTCGAAATTGCTGGTGTCGCCTGGTCCCTTGCAGCGCGGTATGAATGGCGCTTCTATTCGCTTCTGGAAGACGGCTATCCAGTCGGTACTGGCGAACCACTTGTGGCCCTTGATGTCGTTTACGCCTGCCTTGAGGTTGCCGTACCTCTTGGTGAGATCGACCTGCAGCAGATTGCGCAGTAGATCCTTGAGGTCAGAGCCGAAGTGCGACGGGAAGCGTGGCTTGCCGCTCACGATCTTCTCGTAGATCTGGATCGGCTGGTCGGCGAAGAATGGTGGATAGCCAGCGGCCATCTCGTAGACCAGCACGCCCAGTGCCCACCAGTCCACTGCCTTGTTGTAACCCTTGCTGAGAATGATCTCGGGCGCTAGATACTCCGGCGTGCCGCACAGAGTCCACGTTCGTCCCTGCACTCTCTTGGCGAAGCCGAAATCGGTGACCTTGAGGTAGCCCTGCGAGTCGATTAGCAAATTCTCCGGTTTCAGGTCCCGATAGATAAGATCGAGGTAGTGCAGGTACTCGAACGCGAGGACGATCTGAGCCGCGTAGAAACGCGAGTGCGGCTCGGAGAAACGGCCGACCTTGCGCAGGTGGCTGAACATCTCGCCACCGGGCACGTACTCCAGCACCATGTACAGGTAAGAGTTGTCCTTGAAGTGAAAACGCAACGATACGAGGAATGGAAAACTGATAGCTTGCAGTATCCTCTTCTCGTTGAGCGTATGCTCGACCTGTTTCAGCTTTACGACCTTTTGCTTATCGAGTATCTTCATGGCGTAGTACTCTTTAGTGGGTTTGTGCTGAACGATCATCACGCGACCGAACGAACCGGTGCCGAGGGTCTTGATACGTTCGAAATCGTCCAAGGCGGCGGTATTGGTCGGATTCTTCTTCCACTTGTCCTCGAACTCTTTCTTCGCTTTATCGAGGAATTCCTTGACGCTCTCGGCGGCGTCGACCTTCTTGTTGGCGGTCGCGGCATTGTTACCCATTTTAGATGCCGCGCTGGTGCCCGTGTCTGCCAAGGCAGCTTCACGGGCAGCTTCACGGGCCTTATGCCTCAGGTAATCCAGAGGGCTGCTACGTCTTCGTCGGCGTGCGTCCGCGTCCGCAGCCGCCGATGAGCCTGCCAGGGCTCCGGTGAACTCCGGTCTTCTCAGAATTTTTGCTACCTTCTAACACGCGCTGTCGATGGTCCAGACGTCTCTCCCGTAACGTAGCGTCCCGCGGGTCACGCGACACGCTTCCGCGCACCGACAATGTTGTTGACGATTACGAAGACGGAGAGTCTCTCCCAGAGTCTCCCCCGTTGTTCTTTCCGCTGTTCTTTTAGAGAACGGGCTCCTGAATCTGGTCCTGATCTTCGGGGCAGAATCGCGCGGATATTTTGAGTAGACACCGTCAATCACTCAAAAGAGATGATCGTGGAAAAGAGAGACGGAGATGGGTTACAACACGCACACTTCGAGCGAGTATATTATCACACGGTAGAAAAAACAGGCCACACACAAAACACACACACGCAAGGGGGGTAAGAAGAGAAGCGCGCGCGCGAGCGCGAGCGCGACGCGAGAGAGCGGCACCCTTTTCTTTCTCGCTCTGTCCCTCTCTCTCTCTCTCTCTCGACTTCCTTCCCTGGCTGTCGCCGAGTATATTCCTCCCGGCGAACGTCACCACACTCCGCGAACGGCGCTCGCCCACATCAAGCGAGACCGAGTGAGAGCCGGAGAGAGGGGGGGAGGAAGGCGAGGGAGAGATTTCTTCTCCGTCGTCGTCGTCGTCTTTTCGCGAGAGGCTCCCGTACTCCCAGAGATTTGCCGCGTCGAAAAAAAATGGGTCAGCAGCGATCCTCGTCCGCGGCTCGCGCCATCTTCTCTGTCAATTGTACCAGTTTGTCGTCGTTGTTTGGCGGTGGCGACGGCGGCGGGATGCCGTGTCTCTCCTCCCTCTCTCTCTCTCTCTCTCTTTCTCTCTCCTTTCTCTCACACGTAAAACACACGGTCCGTCCGTCGGTCCGACCTCGAAAGTCCCGTCTATTCAACCTGCTCCGTTTTGACCAGAGCAATCAAGTATCTCGCCCTCCTGCCCCCGTCACCCGTGTCCCGTGGCCGACACGAGCAAAGTCACACAGCACCAAGTTTCACTTGCACGCGAAACGGCACGAAGGAGAGCGAAATCGCACTCACCGACTTACGTGACGCGACGGCAGCGGCTTGTGAACAGCACGTCGACGTTCTGACCGACCGAACCGTTTCTCTTTTGCTCTCGTATTCACTCACCACGTCCCTCGCGGATTGTCGTTGTTCCTCCCTGTGATGTTCGTACAGAGAGAGAAAGACGAGAATGGGATAAACGTCTCGTCGTACGAAGATACTACTCGTGGACGCGCACCTTGTTCTTCTCTTGCACCCCGGCACGTCTTGCACGTTAATGTAAATCGAGCGCGCGACAAACGGGGCGACACAGTCGATATATTCGAGCTCGCTCACGGCGATGAGATCGCTTCGCGTTTACCCGGCACGTCGCGCGTCGTGTCGCGTCCACGGAGGCGCACACGGCGCTTCCAGAGTAATGTGTTACGATTGTCGTCGACGACCAGCGACGGCGACAGCGATGACGTCGACGGAGACGGCGGCCGGATGAGTACAACCGTGCCTAAAGATGGCGACGCGACTCCTCCACCGCTCGTACGTTCGGGGGGGTTTTTCGCACGGAGTGCGAAAGTGACGAAGTGCCGCTCTAGGAGGCGAGAGAGCTACTGTCTGCCGCGGGTCAGCTGTTGCTTCCACGCACCGCCGAGAGATGTAGCGTCGTACGGACGACGCGCCGAATCGGTAGGTGCTGCTGCTGCCGGCGACGCCCGGAACTGTGTTACTCCGAGCCGATCCGAAGTTAGCCGAGGGTCGAAACTGTCGAAACCTCGGCGACGTTCGCGCAATGTCATGTGATAACGCGGTACGCACGTAGACGTATAGAATCAGAACGATGTTAGGCTTCTTTCAAGGAAACATTTATATAAAACTTTCCGATGTTGTTTTAACGTTATTTAAACATTATTTTAAAATTTAAAATTTATATCACGATGTAATATTTTAATACAAATTTTTACAACTTATGTTCATTTCTATGCACATTAAATTAATTTTGATTTAAAGTTTTCCGATATATATGCCGCCACTACTAAAAATCTATAGCATACGTAACGTAAACTATAAATTTTCGGTATCGCAGTACATATATCGAATACGGCTTTAATCTCGGTTCAACTTTTTTATCCTTTTCTCTCTCTAATTCTTAAATTAGAGAAAGGTGAAGAATGAGTTGAACCGAGATTAAAGTTAATCTACATGGCTAGAAATAAACATTATTGATGTAAAAATCATAATATGAAGGCAATCATAAAGAAATCAGAAAAATACGAAAATAATATTTCATTATATACATGTATGAATATTTGACAATAAAAATTCAAAAATGTCTGTGATCGTTAATACTACTATTTGTATTTAAAAATATGTTAAACATATTTTTTAACAAAATGAACAAATTATTAACTACTTAGATTTTTCTGAATTTGAAAGTATAAATATAAAAAATTTGACGAAGATTCTGGAAATTATTTCAATAAGAAACAGACATTTTTTAAAAATAATTAAAAAAATGAGAAAATTTTTATTTGAATTATAAGACTATAATTAAATATAAGTATTGACTTTATCGAATTATTTCACGCGCATAGAACGTTCATTTTTATACAGAAAGTACAAATTTCTAGTCATTAATTTTTGTAGAGATTACACCCGATATATCCTTAATGTCTCTCTAACATGGCAACGTTTAAGATTGCAGATTACAAGTATTTGTCATATTGTTACCTAATCATACGCCGACAAATGCTTTTGTTATCACAGAATGCTATTTCTGGAGTAAAGAGACACTTTTCTTCGAGAGGATGCCTATCGAAATACGCTCAGGTTTAAAAACAGCCATGACCTCGTTTCCTCGACATTCCCGATCGTCTCTCTTTTCAAAAAATGGGGACCATTCGGGGGGCCCCGAAGATATCTCGAGCCAGCCCTGAATCGCGCAACGAGCTCCAAGAAGACGATTGTGTCATGTTCCTCGACAACGAGAATGGCACTCTCTGAGTCAGCCGACCGAAAAACTTATGTTCCGTCGTCAAGGTTGCTTTTAAAATTTGGAACCGCTGTAATCACGCGCGCGCGTGCCGGCGCGACCGCACTTTTTATCTAGCTCTCCTGTACGCAGATAACGTCACGCGGATTTCTGCGCGACTTATCGCTCGGAAAACGCAATGTATTCACGAAAGCGCAGACACATGCGTAGAATTATCGTCGACAATCTAATACCCTGTCCGATATATCGTTATGTCCTGCGATAAAAATCCTCTCTTATCCCCTTTCCTTCCGAGATACCGCGAGCATTTGAACGAAATCTTTCTCTGGCGTTCCATTTGCCACACTGTAGATACTTTCTCAGTTGTGCTTCCTACATTCGGTTATTTACACTCTAAATCCAAAAATTTATTTGCGAATTTAGTTGTATGATCATCACTAAACGCTAAAAAAAAGTATTGCGCGCAATTTTACTTTCTAAATTTCTTGTAGTGAAATCTCACTCCAAAAGAGTTAAAATACTGCCACTATTGAAGAAGAGTGAAAAATTTGTACTTTTGAATAAGTGACAGATTTTTATCTTTTTTTTTTAAGTGAATCTCACTTCAATAGTGATAGTATTTTAATTTTTTTTGGAGTGGGATTTTACTCCGAGAAATTTAGAAAGTACTAAAGCGGCCCCTAGATAATCAATATTATTACACAATATTTGATATTCCACAAAATTATTGATCATTTGAAGATTGATATTTATTTTTTATTGTCTAAAGGAGGCATCAATAATAAATAATTGTACAATAATCGTACAATAATATTGATCATCTAGAAGCCGTTTAATGTCCATGATTAGAAATCCTATAACAGAGTTCGACCACGAGCAATTTTGTCAAAATGAGAATAAGAAGAAGGATATACATAATGTCTCTTTTTATAATAATGTCTATTTTACATGCTTATTCTAACTTATTAAAGTTGACATAAATGACGAGTCAATTAAAAATTTAACATGGCTAGATTCTATTATAGGATCTGTTATACGCTAAGGCAGTTTACAATAAGCAGAGTAGCTGTATAGTGGATTAAGAAGTATGTATAGGCATAGAAATCAACCAATTATAGTCGAATGTGAGAAGGCTAATCAATTATGATTGATTGATTTCTACGCTATTCTTTAATCGGTTACTGCTATATAAGTACGTAAATTAACTTTCTGCCAATGTAGATTAATTTTTTTAATCTCAATCTTATTTTTTATCCTTTTCTAAAACGGCCTTTAGACTCTAGACGATCAATATTATTACACAATGTTATTGATCATTTGAAGGTTATGTATTGAGCCTCCGAATTATTTATTTTGAATTGTTTAAAGAAGGTATCAATAATATATTAGTACAAAATAATAATTACAAATTAATGGTACACAATAATATTTGTCATCTAAGGTTGCTTAATGTCTATTTCTAATGTAAATTAATTTTAATTTCGATTCAACTTTTTATTTTTTTAGTTCTAAAAATTAGAAAGACATAAAGAGTAAATTGGAGATTAATCTACATTGAGAGAAACGAACAAAATAGACAAAATGTGAAAATATTTAAATAACGACATTATATATTCTATTAAATAATGATAGTTTCAGCTGACAAATCTCTCTTTGCCTATTCGATAGCTACAATTCCTTTTTCTTTCGACAATACAACGTTCATTCACAGTTCTCTCTTGCAATTCTTTGTCTATTTCTCTTCACTCTCATCTCTTTAATTTAATTTCTTGTGAGATATCTTCCTCGCTAGTCAGTTTATGTTGAGATCAAGCTCCATGGAACCCGAGAAAACAGCTCACGCGCTCAATCGTAATAGTATTTCTTATCTCAGGATTATCAAATTGGAAGAGGTCGAGCGAGTCACATCCACGAATACGAACAATATTGAACGAGCACTGAG